TGATGACCATATACAAAAAGATAAAACTATAAATGGACAACATCATCATATTGACTTGATACGCATAACCGTAAATGAAGTGGAGATTATTACCGGTTATAAGTCTCCGTCAGTACCTAGAACTATGTTTACGGACGAACTGAATAATATTTTAAGCAAGTCAGTAAGCAATGAAAGGATTATAATAGGTGACTTCAATTACGACTCATATAATGAAGGAGGATTTTTGGAAAAACATTTAAATGAATTACATTTTAAACGTGCAATTTGCACACAAGTATCAATTACAAAATTCAATACGCAGATAGATGTAATATTCATATCGGAGGGAATATTAAATTATAATGCTGGAGTATACGAAACTTATTTTTCAGATCATAAACCTATTTTCATCGGATTAAACGATCAGAACAAGATACCAATATCAAACAAAAAGATGTTTGAAATATTCACGAAGGATATTTCTTTTAATAAGAATAGTAAAAATAATTCAGAAGAATACTCAATAAACATAATGTCTGGAAATAATAATGAACCAATTACAATCAACAACGAAAAATATGTAATATTAGATGATGAAATCGAATACAATGATGTGAAACCAGTGACTACTTCTCTTCAAAGAAGGGCTGAGCCTTCCTACAGAAATAAAAATATAATGAATTGTACAAATCAATACAAATTATATCCTGAAAAATGCACAATAAAATCAAATAAAACATATTTGAGAGATATTCAAAAAATGCTTAGGCATTGTCTTCAAGTTATTAAAAAAAAGATATTATTACCCTTTCCGGAAGAATAATAACTGGATGTTTTTGGAAGAAACATGAAACAAATAGGAAAAAGAAGAATATAAAAGATGAAGGAGAACACTCTCTCTCTTCTCTTTCACTCTTTCGCTCTCTCTCTCTCTCTCTGTCTCTCTCTCTCTCTCTCTTAGAACAATAAAACAAGAAGGAGAAATTCAAAAAGAAATGCGAAGGAAAAACCATGTATTATACTTCCGTGCAAGAATATTATACCTCTTGTTGTGCTAAAAGTTAAGACTCCAGGACGACGTGAAAAAGTGGTCAACAACGACATATTAAATTTGAGTAAGCTATCAAATCGTTCGAGCGCATTATTGACAGCTAATCAATGTTTCTCGTGTTATTTTTTCTTATAAAAAAGTTTATTAAATGTTTCTTAAGTGAGTTTTTATACGAGATCATTTGCCAAACAGAAAATTCGGGCCATGGTTCCGCTTCGTATTACTGCAGGCAAGGAAACAACCGTGGTGATATTATTCTAAGCTCTGCGAGATTCAGAAGCCACGCGAAAAACATTTACAGCTAAGTCCTTCCAATAATATAGAATAATTTTAGATAAAATTCTTTCCGAAAAGAAATTAATACAAATAAATTCTGGTATTAATTAAAGCCTAATAATTATGATGAATTGCATTAGAAAAGTTTACGGACTTTAATTTAAAAAAAAATTAATAATAATGATTACATTTTATTAACTTCTATTTTAAGTAGATATTCTTGCGTGTTTTTGTTTGTGTTAAAGGAAAAGTTTAATGGAGTGGTGACAATATAAGGAGAGGAGAGGAGAAGAAAATAATAGAAAAAGACAGATTTTGAAAAGAGAAGAAAACTCTCTTGGATGAAGATTGCCTCACCCACGGTTTTTGATCCGTGGTTTTCCGGAGGGTCTTTGG